AGGCAATGGTTTGCTCACTGAACCAGAGAGAACGCAAACAGGAGTCAGACAGGGGGAATCAGCTCGTGTTTTCTGAATGAAACATCCTGAATGTGGACGGACGGCGGGGGCAAAAAGTGCTGACACAGTAGAAACCACCATTCCCCTGGCATGGCTGTAATCACAACAAACAGCAAAGGAACAAGGGGCAGGGAAAGGCAAACTGCGGGTCTGAGGAAACTCTCCTGGAAGTGAGAAAGAAGCGCTTCAAAACCAGAATCGGCAGAGGAGTATGTACCGCCGCTTGTCGTGTTCGCCTCGTCTTAGCTTTTTGGTTCTCTTGCCAGCTTTAGCTAAGACATGAAGCAGAGGCCAAGAACAACAACAACACTACCAATAAGAGCTGGGCCTCTATCAAATATGAGGGCAGGGATGTTTTCAAAACTTACATCAGAACGATCTGTTTCATCCTTGCTGAACCAAACAGCAGCGAGATTTTTGGGAAATGCCAGAGATTTTAAAAAAAAAGAAAGAAAGAAAAAAAAGCTCAGACTAATGTACGCCTTCTACAAGTAAATAAATCCCCCTCGTGCTGTGGTTTTGCATGAAGCATCCAACTCTGTTATCAGGCTTTTTTTTCCCCTTCCAGCAATGCACCCATGTTAAAAAAGGTCATTAAAACACATACAGCCACTTAGAATAAGCAGAAGTGGAGGGGGTGTTATGCTGGTATGTCTAGTTTGCGCACACTTATGCTCGTGGCTGAGGACCAAGAACGAAGACGGCTGACTTGGCAGCGATCCAGGCCAAATTACGAAAAAATGTGCATTTCTATCCCCCTGGGTGTCTCCTGTGGTTGCTCCCCCGAGACAGACGCACACAAACAGCCTGAATAGGGAAACAAGAGAATGAAGACACTGAGTCAAGCAGGGCGTGTGGGGCTTTTAAGCAACCCGCGGTCCTTCGAAACAAACAAGCCAAATCTGAACTCTCAAAGAAACTATAGGCTTCGGGGAATATTTCAATCATGTGAAGTAATGGATATGTATGAACTTCCAAAACAATAGGCTACTGTGCACAAGAAATAAATCCTCCCCTAAAGATGTCTGGCTGTGGCACATTTGCTTTGGTGCTTTTGCTTGTGACTTCTGTGCAGCTTCACGCCCCCCTCCCCTGGCTCGTAACCCCCAAATGCCACACACTTTGAAGATTTTCACAGCTCTGGGTGGATAGGAGGCAGCTGCGGAGGCTGGAGGATCCTGAGGTGGCTTACAGATCAGGTAGCTCTCTCCAGTATCCTCTCCAGTGTTAACCTATCTAGGAGCGCTCTGCCTTTGAGTGTGTGTGTGCACACGCAGGTGGACATGGGGCTGCTGCTGCTTTGAGGGGTGTGTGCATGAGTGTGGGGTAGAAGTGTGGAGCAGGGAGGGAGGGGGGTGATTCGGCATGTCTTTTAACTCTAGCCCGAGCCTTTGCCACCATAAAGGTCAGCGCTTCGACATCTGCTGCTCTCTCTGAATCTGTCCTTTTATGAAAGGAAGCAGGGAAGAGGAGAGGACTCTGGGGAGTGGATGCACATGCACACACACAGATCAACTTTAATGTCTAGGTACACCCTTCAAACGTGCACATTAAACTGGATGAACACAGACCCGGAGCTCAAAGCACACGCTCATCCAAACAAATACAAGAACACAAGTTTGCGCCTCAAAGACAGGCTCAGTACTATCATTACACCAGCACAGAGACGCTTGGCTTTTGGCCTGAAAGACTCCTCTCTCTTTTTTTTTTCTTTTTTTTTTTCTGGCAGGGGGACAGACGAGGAGTGTGGGGGGGTGAGCTAAATGGAATCTCGTCCCCCTGGGGCACACAGCAAAGGCAGAGCAGTGTTGAAATAAGTGATTCATGCTTTTATCATCCCAGGTGAACAGTGCTGCTCTTTCAGCCATCACAATCAGTTTCTCTGGCGGGGGGGATTACGAAAGCAACGCCATATATGGCCATGGTTGTGTTTCTTTTCGTCTTCTAATACATAATAATACATAAAAAAGGAAGGCTCGAGAGTTGTTGTTTTTTTGGGGGGGGTAGCTAATTTGTGTTGTGGTTGCAACATATGAGTGTGTTAAATCAGGGGAGAAGATTGTGTGTACTGTTAATTGTGTCCCCCCCGAAAAAAAACAAACAAACCAAAAACGAAACAGAATCCGCATGTATGCATTTTCGTTTGGCCTCATTTTACATATTTAGTTAGAAATTTACATCATACATTTTTTTGTTAGCTCAACATGGGCTTTGGGGGCACTCATGACACAAGTCAGCATATACAGTCATGGGTGATGGTCTGTGTTTTCTGTGAGTGTAGAAGTCTGCGCATTTTTGTGGCAATTCTGACCATAAATAAAAACCTTCAGCAAATTAAACCTCACAAACAAACAAACAAAAAAAGCCCACGATTTTTCTTTGGTGGAAGGCCAAAAAAAAAAAAAAAAAA